TTTACTAGGATGCTGTCTTTTGAACATGATCTTGGCCCTATTCTCTTCTCTGTTCAATCATCAAAAAATAAAATAAAATGAAGTCAAATAAATGATCTTCTTTAGAGTTTTCGGAGATATAATTTATCGGAGGCGGATCAAAGATTTGAACAATTTAACAAGGTTCTTAACACTATAACGTATAGTGCAAGTTTTGAATTAATAGATTAAAATAGCACAGGCTAGCCAGTTTTCGGACTGAAAATCGAAAAATAGCAAGTGTTTGCAAATTCATTGAAACAACAACAACAACAACAACTACCCAGTATAGTCCCACAAAGTGGGGTCTGGGGAGGGTAATATGTAGACAGGCCTTACCCCTACCCGAAAGGGCAGAGAGGCTGTTTCCAATCGACCCTCGGCTTCAGGGAAAATAACCATTATTTTGCTAAAACACAAGAAGTTATAGCATAATATGCGGGATTATGGAGCTCCTGCGTATAAACTTCCAACATATTATGTTGGAACTCCAGCACACAGAAAGTTCCAGCATAATATGATAGATTTTGGAGCTCCTGCATATAAACCTCCCGCATATTATGTTGGAACTCGAGCGCACTACGTTGAAAGCTCATATGTAAAAAGATTCGAACTCCAACACATTATGCTAGAATATTTCCGGATTTTTAAGGGTGTTTTTGTCTAGATTTTGTTTTGATTACTTTTAAAACTGTGGCTATTTTTTAATTACTAGTTATAAATCTAGCTCTTTTTTATTTTTTCCCCACAAATAGTTAAGGCACTTTGGAACAATATAGGGTATATAGGTAAAAGTCCGTGGAACTTTATATATTTATTTATTTATTTATTATTATTTAAAATTTAACTTAAGTAGCCGTCCACTTTAAACTAAAAATAGGCCATATATGTATACTATATATGCATCATTCACAGTGGCGGAGCCACATACACCCAAGGGGTGTCAACCGACACTCCTTCGTCGGAAAATTACACTATTTAGCTAGGTAATTTTTAAAAAAATATGTATATATACTATATAATGACACCCCTTGACTTCTTGGTGAGTTTGTTTTTTTATATTTTGGCTCACCTTAATGAAAATTCTGGCTCCGCCACTGATTATTCATATATAATGTATATAATCGTGTATAATTTACAAAGATCAAAATTCGTCTCAAGGGCCCCTCTAATGATTTAGCTATTTGGTCTCTCAACAATAAGGGTGTGTTCACTACTTTTACAAGGTTAGACATTTTGAAGATGCAGATACTAGTACTCCAATTTATGTGAACATGTTTGACTAGGCACGAAGTTTAAGAAAAAATAAAGACTTTTAGAATTTGTGGTCCTAAACAAGTCTAAAAGGGGCCCAGAGTATTTGTGTGGTTATAAAAGCTTCTTATTAAGGGTAGAATCCTAAGTTTAAACTAAATTGTTACCAAATTTAGAAATGGGTCATTATTTTTAGAACGGATCAAAAAGGAAATAGGCTCACACAAACTGGAATATAAAGTAAATCAATAAATATCACCGTATAATGATATATGTAAAGATCTCAACTTTATTTGGAGCAAGTAAAAGATTCTTAATTATCACAAAATAGGGACAATTTTAATAAGGGATTTATGTCTTACCAGGCAGGTCTAGTAATTCCTTAGCAGGAGTGATAATGTATTTTTGCATGGGAATTAGGGCTCTTTGTTGAATAGCACCACCTTCCTTAGCTAGTTCCAATGCATGATTTATTTGAATCACTGTAATATAAAAAGATATTACTACTAATAACAACACTTGAACATTCAAAATAGTTAGAGTAATTAATTGGAATCAACGGGAAAAAATTCCCAAAAAGATTAACCTAAGAAAGATCCTACTTAGAATCTAGGATACATGCATGGTAGTGGTTTAAATGCAATAACCAGAGCTAAAAAAATTCCAAAATACTTCTTTTCTGTCCTTTTTTTTGTTAACAATATAGTATATGGAAGCTGCAGAAGTTATAGGGGCTTGAATATAAATCAATCATTTTTTTTTTGTGGTTAAAAAAAAAAGATTTAACTAGTATATATCTTGTAAATAATTTTTACATTCTCAGGTCAGATTTACATGTTGTAACAAATATTTTGACTTATTTTCAAGATTATAAATCAACTTTATATGAGAGTTACTTGTAAATGTCTTTTGAATAATCTGACCGTGTATAAGTTAAACTCTTAAAATATTACCCAAAAATAAGAAGGAAAAAAAAAAGGAGAAGAAAAAAGAGAGGGTGATATATATACCAGAGAAAGAAACAAGCAAGAAAACCACATAGACCATAAAAAGGCTACATTCAGTGTTTAATGGAGATTCTTGCTGCCATTCATTACTATGGTTTTTGGATAAAAAATCAACAGATTTTAATATTTGGATGATATAACAAATACCCAAAACTCCGAAAGAGGTATTTACAAAGAAAGTTGAAATCTTTGTAAAATTTGAAGCAACGGGGAGGGAGGAGGGAGGGTTGACAATCCAAAAAATGAAGAAGAACGGCAGGGGACTGAAGCGTTTTTCTATTTTATTATTGGGCTTTAACAGCTTGTTTGGATGGTTGTTCCTCGTTGTATTGTATTGTATTGTTATCCTAAAACAATGTTTGTTTTGACTGTTTCATTAAAATTGGTTGTATTGTATTGTTAAATCCATTGTTCCGGAACAATGAAAAGTCCCCTTTTTTGAAACAACCGATTTGGTGTGGTGGGATTGTTTCCTATTTTTCTTTCTAATTATGCTCTAACTTATTACTCCATAATTCTATTTTACCCTTTATCTTTTTTCTATTTTAGCTCCAAATCTCCAACTTATAACCTACTTTGTTTTTTTCCAAACCAATGTTAAAGGTGTTTTGTTGCCTCCTGTTTTATTTTTTTCTCCTAATTTGCTTGTAACTCAATTCTAATTAGTTGTGCTCCTTTGTTTTGCCTTTTTCTGTCTCGCTCCTTTGTTCTACTTCCTTATTGTGTTTTGCTTTCTTCTGTTTTGTTTTTTTAAATTATTTTTATACATAATTTTGATAAATTTAATATTTAAACAATTGAGGGTATTTTAGTAAACTTATCAGTTACAGTACAGTACAATACAGTCAAACCAAACAACAAATATTATTTAACAATAACAAACAATACAATCTATCCAAACATTGTATTCATAAAACGATACGATACAATACGATACAATACAATACAATACATTATAAAACGATAGGGAACAATGATCCAAACAGAGTGTAAGGTAGAATATGGGCTTGCAATACTCAATTTGGACGGCCCAACTTTATGGATCCACAATGTATTTTAAGGTCGAGAAACTTTCAGAAACCACTATGTTTTAGTGGTTATTAGGCTATTAGCTAGTTGTAGCTACAGTTTACTATATTACTTCTTGTAGTTATGTGTTTAGATTTTTAGAGTGTATTCAATGTATTTAAGTTACTGTATTCATGAATACAGTAGCATTTCTAGGCGTGGAACATGGGATTACACGTAGACAGATTTTTGTATTCGACTGTATTCACGCATGAAACAGGGGATTACAGTTGTTTTTAAACGAAAAGTGAATCAATTAACATAATAGACTCCTAATATAACTCAATTATAACACACAAAATTTGTATTTCCAGTTATAAAAAAGATTCTCAACCGGAAAACACCCCAAAAACATAGTAATCTTCAGAGAAAATATGCTAAATATTTTTCCCAGCCAATAAATACAACAAAAATAGAGCAATTTGAATACATATTTACATCAATTATACTCCATTAATTAAAAAATATATGAATACATTCATGGAATACAACGAGACAGTGAATATAATGAAATACAACGAGATACATTAAAATACAATGAAAAAAAAAGACAATGAATACAATAAAACAAATGAAAATACAGCGAGATACATTGAAATACATTGAGATATATTAACAGAAAATTCAAGTTGCTTAGCCCCAAACTCTGTCGTCTTTGTTCAAGAGCAACCCTAGTGTCGTATCGTCGAGAGGACCGCGATTCTGACTCGAAAAGGCACTGTTCCTGTTACCATAATACCCTCAATTGAATTTGAATGGCGTTTGTGGATTGGGACGGAAACCCCCAGATTGGGCAGAACCCTAGAACGACGAAGAGAAGAGGAAGACGGAGATTTATATAGAGTTTTGTTTCTAAATTCCAGATTGGTAATATAATCTGAAGAGGAGAGGAAGATGCAGAACCCTAGAATCCTCACGTTTCGATCCGAGCAGCAAATAAATTTCTGGCATTGCAATGCTTTCCTCAATTTTTTTTCTTTCATTCCCGTTTCGATTGGGAGAATTGTGTTTGGGAGAATTGTGGTTGTATTCATGGAGAAAGACTGGAGTTGAGAGATAGAAGGTGGAGAAAAATCTGAAAGAATGAGAGAGAAAAATAATACAATGCATATTTTATGGCTTAAGAGTAGGAGATGATCATGAGTAGATATTTGGCTATAAAAATCAAAAGGTAGTTATGGAATATAATTTTTTAAAAGAGTATTTATTTAAAATAAATAATACATCAACCTTTGTTATATGAGGTAAAAATTTCTTAGGTAAGTTTCACTATAAAAGGTTTTATTTACCTCGACTTATCTACAAGTTCAGTCATTCAAATAATCAAAGTTTTTATTCCACTTATATTTACTCTTAGTTTAGCTATTTTAATTGGACAAGGTTTTCAATTCTTCTTATTGGAAAAATACAAAATATGTAACACCCTCTACTTTCTACTACTCAACTTAATTAGGAAAAGGATGAAACTATTTTCACTTTAATTATACTATAAATAATCGGAAAAATTTTAATGTAATCGGAAATTTTCAATCTCACTCCTACTCAGGTAAGAAAATACACTTAATTCCTATATAAACAAATAGTTTCATAACAATTGAACATAGGCTTCTTCTTGTTTTTTTTCTCATGGAAGGTTCAAATAATAAAACTCCAATGGATTATCAAGATTTTCTTCGTTCTTTTCAAGATTTGAACTTGGAAAAAAAATTAACTTCTCCACACAACAATTCAAGTTTTTCTGAGAATTTTCCATTGGTGGAAGATGGTATTAATATTCCAAAAGAAAGTAGCAAAATTTGGGCAGTTTCATCTGATCAAGAAACTACTGATAGTTCTTTTTCTTGGTTGAGTTCTACAAGTAATAATGGTTCTGTTTCTTCTCTTCAGAACAATAAAGAAGAATACTTTTCTAAAGATTCAAGAATTTCAATGAATCAAAATAGTATTCAATCATCATTAGAATGGCCATCAACAAGTTCTGTAAATATTTGGGCTTATAAAAATTATAATTCCAACAATGGAAGTAAGTATAAAGTTCACAACTTTTCTTTATTCATGCATGCAGACTAGTTATTTTTCTTTTAATTGTTGTTACTGCTATTTCTTTTTCTTTTCTTGAGTCGGGGCTCTATCGGAAACGGCCTCTCTACCCTTAAAGGTAGGGGTAAGGTACACACTACCCTCGCCAGACCCCACTCGTGGGATTGTACTGGGTTTGTTGTTGTTGTTGAGCCTTGGTTCAACTGGTAAAGTTGTTGCCATGTGACCAGGAGGTCACAGGTTCAAGCCGTGGAAACAGCCTCTTGCAGAAATGCAGGAAGGCTGCGTACAATAAACCTTGTGTCTGGCCCTTCCCGGAACCCGCGCATAGCGGGAGCTTAGTGCACCGGGCTTTTATTTTTTTTTTTTTTTTTAATTTGTATTTTCTTGTCAATATATTCAAGATTTCTTGGTTTTCTTGGTTTGTTTTCTGCAGTTTCCAGCACCAAATCTTCACAGAAAAGCTTATTGGATTCTGCAGATATTTATGAGAATTATGTGCCACAAACAAGTACCAATTATGAATATGGATCTTCTTCAACATATAATTCCATGAATCAATCCAACTATGATCAAATTTTGAGCAATAACATGTTGAATAATAGCTACATTGAAGCTCAAGAATTTGCAGATACTAATGAACTTCCTTTAGACTATAAAGATTGGAGTAGTGAGGATTACACTAAGTGTTTAAATGTCCTGTTGAATCAAAGTGTTGCAGCATTATGTTATGGTTGTTTGCCAAATCTAGGATTCGACGTTATTAAGATGGCTAAAAGTCCCAGAGCCTCGCGCTTATTGCAAAATTTTCTGCAGCTGAATAACTATTACTACAGGCAAAGGATACTTAATGAGATTCTTGGTTCATTTTATGAGGTGATGATCGATGAATTTGGACACGCTTTCTTCCTAAAACTTGTTGAATTCTGCAACGACGAACAGATGGAATTAATTCTCAGAACATTTCACATCAATGTAGAGTTATTTGTACTAACAGCCGTTAAGAAATATGGGTGAGTAGAGTTATATTAAGTACTTAACAGTTTGCATTCTGAATACTGGCCTATCTAACATTTTTCCTTTTGCTTTGACAGTTCAAAGTCTATTCAAATGCTGATTAAAACCCTCAAAAAGAAACCTTTGGCCAACTATTGCTCAGAAATTGTGTCTGTTAAGTTAGTTGAACTGATGACTCATCGAACAGGACGATACGTTGTTGAACAATGTTTCCATGTCTTCAATGAGAAGCAGAATGAGGTAAAAATTGTCATTACAGTTTTGTGGTTGGTCAGTCAAACCTCTCTATAACAGTCTCATTTTTTCCGAATATTTTTGGATGTTACAGCGAAGTCCTAGTTAAGTGTTGTTATATAGAGATGTTGTTATAGAGACGTCTGACTGTAATAGCAATAAATTGTAGCCTAACATATATGAATATTGCACATTGATTTCAGGTTCTGTACCGAAGGATTATTAGTTGTTTCAGAGAGTTGGCTACAAATGAAAGTGGATGTGCATCTTTGAATATTGGCATCAATTGTATCACAAACCCTCTCAGAAAGGAACTACTTGAAAAAATTGCAAACCAATCAGGTTACCTTGCCAATGATCCCTGGGGGTAAGTAATAACATATAGTATCCTCCCTCTGTGTTACATTTGGGGTCATTCATACGCTTGTCATAAGCAAATCGTCTCGTATTTGTCCTTGACTTTAACGTAGCTCCAGCATGGACTAGGTAAATTCCAAGTGTCAAAATACTTGGGAAAAAGTGCAATTTCGCTCTACTTTGACTATTGCTTAAAATACCTCAAATAGGAAAATACGAGACGATTTGCTAACGACAAGGGTATCATGGACATAAAGTATAACGGAGTGTAAATTAAGAAATTTCACCCTTTTCTCCTTTTTTCTTTCTTTTACTATTGTTGGCGTACCTAGTAAAATTGTTGCCATGTGGCCAGGAGGTCACGGGTTCAAGCCGTGGAAACAGTCTCTTGCAGAAATGCAGGGTAAGGCTGCGTACAATAGACCCTTGTGGTTCGGTCCTTTCCCGGACCCTGCACATAGCGGGAGCTTAGTGCATCGGGCTGCCCCTTTTTACTACTGTTGGCTGGTTTCTGGTTTATTTTAAGAATTTGTGTGTTTTTTGTACAACAGGAACTATGTTGTGCAGCATGTTCTTGAACTAAGGGATGAAGAGATTTCAAGCAAGATATTCAGTCAACTTGAGAAGCAGTATTTAACACTAGCCTACAAAAAGGGTGGTAGCCATGTTGTTGAGAAATGCATTGAATCATCAAATATTGGAATGATTTCAGTGGTTGATGTTCTTCTAGCTGATGAAAAATCACTAGTTCAGCTTGCCAAAGATCCCTTTGGGAATTATGTAATTCAGAAAGCATTAAAATCAACAAAAGTAAGTAATCCATATTGTCTTTTTAGCCACACAACATAAACCATTATCAGTAATAGCAAATCAAACATGGTTCTAATAACTGATTTAAGAACTTTGTGTCTGTTTTCTGATTGCAGGAAAATGGAGAGGAAAGGCGACATCAAGCTCTCGTTAGAGTCCTCCTGCGACATGCCTCGTCTCTTTTACACAGCAAACCTGGGAAACATGTGATCTTAAGTATCAAAAGTCTAAATCCAGATTATCAGACAGCCTTGAATTCATCATTATCAAGCCAATGTTAAGGAGGACAATCTTGTTCCTACGTTTCTTGTTTCTGTTTCTGTTTCTGTTTCTTGTTTATGTTACTTCTGTGTAATCTGTGCCTTTTCTTTGTACACAAGGGGTGAAATGGAGATGATAAAAATCAGTGTCTAAAATTGTAGTTAGGTGTTAGCAACTAGGAATTGTTTGAGAGTTGTAGTCTGGCATTTTGGTAGAAATATTTTGTAAGAGCTTTTGGTGTGTACTACAAAAGCATTTGTTATCTATATTGTTCACTAACCTGAAACTTATCTTTAATGTTTATTGATACAAGAAGTTTATGACTTATTCAGAATTTATATTATTAATTAAATTTAAACATAACATAAAGCACTTATTACCAACCACATTCCTAGTAAAAAAAATGTTACTTTCTCGCACCTCGATAATTTCATAATTACTAGCTACCTCCTAACACAGATAACTCTATCCACAAAGGCTTGGACAGATCGGAGACTTGGAAGTACAATAGTCGGTTAACATATCTAAGCAAATGGCCAATAAACTACATAGGAAAGTGGCATCAGTTTCCCTACTATATTGCAAAGACAAGTGCTGGTGATATATTACCATCCCAGTTACAAATACAAGACAATTACAAAACAGAGCTGCATTGCACTTTCTGAGACTCCAGAACACTTCTAGTAGCCTCTTTCACCACTTGTCCACTCACGTAGTGCTTTCGGCACACGGGCATATATACATCTGCTCCTGCAATCAACTCCGTTCTCGTTTCCTCTGTCTTCCTCAAGGTAAAAGAAGCACGTTTACCGCAAAGTTCACATCGGGAAGTTAGTTTGGTCACAGTATCAGCAATTGGAATTATGTCAAGAACTGAACCAAAGCTTCTTCTGTGAATCCAATAAAGAATCAGTATACGAGTACAAAAACACCGAGCATAATAGCACGACAACTATGTAACTTAGCATCATATTTAGTACATATGAAGTATTCGAAGGGATAAGCACAATACGTCTTTCCATAGAAAATGTAGTACCTCAGATAGTCACCATCCAATCCAGCAACTATCACAATCTTGCCATCATGGTCGGCAGCTTCTGTGCAGAAATCATATAGATCCTCAAAAAACTGAGCTTCGTCAATGCCAATGACTTCTAACTGAAACCATGTAACAGTCAAAGAAAAGTACAGTCACATATACTATCAAAGAAAATTGAGTGATGATATAGCATAAACCATGTAAAAGTCACAATACAATACTGTCACATGCTAGCAAAAAAGTTCAATGACAACTTTCAAAGCTAGTGCTTCATGATTATATCATTCAAAAATAGACTTCTTGCCCCAAACTTTTTAGAGAAATATGTTGCTAACACTGCTAGCACCCCTATCTACGCATTGAGAAGGTCCTATGCTAATCATCTAATATATTCACATCTCAATATTTTACCGTTGTAGTGTTACCTTACTGTATGCTTCAGAACCACATCTCTGTTTGAATGACGATAGATTAGCTAAAGGCCAGCATGGCAATCTGTCCCCGTCATGTGTCACTATGGAATTCAACCCATATCTTGTATCCTTGTCTGACTTTATGATTGCTACACTTCTGCAGAGAGGGGGAAATAGCATGGCAATTAAATCAGACGATGACATATGAACATCAGAAAGCCTTGAATCTCTATCAAGATCATCAAATTTCAAGCAGTGTTTCAAAACTCAGAAGTTTGCATGCGTCGCGGATCAAGTTATGTCCTCAACTTTCATGTCAAAGTTTTGATATCTTGAAGTTAATTTTTTGGTTTGTAAACTTTCACGTAAAGAATGAAACTTTCAGAATGATTTCATCCATTGAACAAAAGGAAATAGAATGAGCTGGTTCTACTTTTCTGTGCGGTTGGCTGCACAAGAGATAGATCCTCGCACAAACTTCAAGTCAACACAGTAGGAACTGAATGTTCAAGTTTTACTTTTGCAGTTTGTGCGGCTCTCTATCTTAATCTAATATGAAAAGGCAAACAAGGGAAGCATAGTCTAACATAAAAAGGTAAAAGAACTTGTTTATTTTAATCTATCAAACAGTAGACACTAATGCCACCACATGAAGACATAAATTTCACACACCCACTTTTTTATGCTTGTTTACATGACTATAGCTGCATGGAATTATGCCAGTTCCATAGTAGAAGTCATAGGTTGAAACATTTCATGCATTGCCTAAATGTACCTTAGTGACAACATAGAATGATTTGCTTGACCACCAGACATAGCATATAACAAAATAAATAGAAATATAAACAAATTTTACATGAAATGTTTTCTACAATGCCTAAAATTCATCATCTGTGGGCAGCATTGGTTAGAATATAATATAGTAGAAGAAACAAAATTATTTGCTAAATTCAAATTATGATGACGTATGGCTTTTTAAGCATTTTATCAGAAACTAGTCAACTCCATTGTTACAGCAATATAGTCCAAATGACCTCCAAAAGGACATGTTTACTTTGGTAAACTTGTTTTACCAAGAACTGTACTTGTTTTACCAAGAACCGCGTCCCATGAACCGAGATCCATCACATTACTGCTCGTAACAATCCATCTGTTTATTCACATACTTGTTCCTCATAGAAGCAAATAGCAAGCCCCGGCTTGCTGAAATGCACCATCTTGTAGCAGTTGAAACTGCAAAGACAACACAATCCATTTTCTACATTCAAAGGCAAATAGCATCACCAAAGAAAACTTGTGTGGAAACTGCATAGCACAGAGGCTGAAGCCTGTTTTCCTTTCTGTTTTGACTGTTAGTTTTTCCGCTTTTATAGCTTAAAAGGCTACTAGTATAATAGCTGGAGTGTGGCAAGCATAGCTGTTTCTGGAGATACAGCAAATTTTCCTCTTAAAAAGACTCTACTCAGTTAAATGGCTGAGGATTCAACCAAGCTCAATCTATATTGATGTTGGTCCTTTCCCTTTAACTCAGTAAATCTGGAACATCACCAGCGTCTTTTAGGACACCTGCCATATTTTTGACCAATTTATATATCTCACCGGTCTGTTCATGAGCATTATGCTCCATAAAGAAGAAATGTGTTTGTCTTTGAACCTCAATCATACTATAACCAGGCTCCTTTTTCACCCCCGAGTCCTTCATCAGTCTCCTTACCTCTGCAACGTTGTTCCATAAACCAAAAGAAGCATATGCATTCGACAAGACAACATATTTGCCAGCATTCTCTGGCTCCAAGTCAAAGAAATTTCTAGCAGCAAGTTTTACCATCTCGATATCTCCATGAATCTTACAAGCCCCAAGTAGGGCACCCCATAATACTGGGTGCTCCCCGCAACGCGAGTTTATGACAAACTCATGAGCCTCTTGTAATCTTCCAGCACGGCCTAGAAGATCCACAATAGCTGCATAGTGTTTTCCTCTTGGTCGAAGCCCAAAATCTCTCATCATCAATGAAAAATACTCCTTACCTCTATCTACCAAACCCCCATGGCTACAAGCAGAAAGAACAGCAAGAAATGTAATATGGTTTGGCCTAAACCCTTCATCTATCATCCTATGAAATGATTCCAGAACATCTTTTATTCTTCCATTTTGTCCATACCCAGATATCAAAGCAGTCCATGTTATCACATTCCTTTCCAAGGACTTACTAAACACAAGATAGCCATCAGATGGACAACTACACTTGAAATACATGTCCATAAGTGCACTATTAACTACAATATTTCCACTAATTTGGCTTTTAATCAACAGCACATGTGCTTGCTTGCCCTGCTCCAGGACTGCTAAAGAGGCACAGGCTCTAAAGACTGATGCAAATGTATACTGATCTGGAAGTACACCTCTTTGTTTCATATTATGGTAGAGACTCAGGCCTATTTCCTCCATACCCTTCTGCACGTATCCTGCAATCATAGCATTCCATGAAACCAGGCATTTGAATTGCAACTTATCAAATATAATGTGTGCGGTATCCAAGTCTCCTGCTTTTGCATACAAAATTAACAACTTAATAGTCAGATACTCATTTGGAACAAAGCCGACAACAATCATTTGCCAATGGACTCTTTTCCCTTTCTTATACGCCTGCCGGAAAATGCACTCTTGCAAAACAAGGGAATAAGTTTCTGACTCCACCTGTACACCAGAGCGGCATAATATTCCAACTGCTTCAGCCACCCTTCCAGAGAAACAGAGACCTTTTATTGTCTCATCCAAATAGAGGGAGTTCTTTACACCATTGGCCTGAAAACTGGGAATATTACCAACCATGATTTCAAATTCAAATACCATCAGAATAACATGGTCCAACTTTTACTTCCTCTACATGAGAGGGCCAAAGATTTCAACACCCCAGGGAAGAAAGCAAAGGAAACAGCAAAAAACTGAGTGTAGAACAATAAATTTAGAAAGAAAAACAAAAGGCTCAATCATTCAATGAGAGACGAAAGGTTGAGTAACAGGCAAAATTCATCAGCTTTCAACATCTAAGAACTGCAAAGAAACCAAGTCCACATAGCAGAACAAAAAGCTGGCGCCTTGGAGCAACGAAAATTTAGTGCTGCACCAACTTGATTGTTCTATAAGTTCCAACAACTCGCTTATATGAACAACAACTGTGAAAGCATACTAAGAAAAGAGCACCCTCGCTGAAAATGATATAAATGACTAAGTCGGGACTCGGGTGTTAAAATTCTTTCCCAACAATGTCCTTAAACGCATAAAGATATCTCTACAGCTATCGGTTCAACCAAATAAATGATCACCCAAAAAGCTGGTCTTGGAGAAAAATCCGACAACATGACAACGCACTGCTGAAAAGGTGCTTTATCATGTCACTCAATACTATGAAATTCTCCCCATGCCACATTAAGCTATCAAAAGTATCAACCAAAACCAATTCTGAGGCACGACCCAAAAATCTTACAAACATTGGCTTTCGATGCATTACAATTCATAGTCTGTGTTTCATTTTAAAGTATATATGGCCCAACAAGGTCTTACCATAGTTGTCAAAAGTCCTACTTCCATAAGTTCAGCAAAAGCTCGTGTGAGTTATAAGACACTATGAAGTAAGTAGCTAAGTACATATACAGGTTCTTATGAGAGGAAGCCAAAAAATATTAGCCCTTTGCCCCTTTCTATTCCAACAGATTCATAGTATATATTAAAGCCAAAGGAGAGGTTTTTTAATCCCAAAAGAAAAGGTGTGTTATTACTTTTAGCTCCCAGAAACTATTTATGTCTGGTAGCCGAAAAAGTGTATAAAACTTGTATAATTTTTGTATATAACATACAGAATGTATATATATACAAAAGATATACAAATTTTATATATTTTTAATTTTATATATTTTTCTGCTATTATTTTTATAGCGGCTATGAAGTGTTATTTTTCCGAGAGAAAACAAAAAAGCCATAAAAGAGGTGCAAAAATTTAAACTTTAAAAAATGCAAAGCATTTATCACCTATAAAATTAAGATAAAAACTAAATTAGAAACCTATTGAGAATCCTAACCTGCCATTGCTGCTTTCAGACTTTATCCTCTTCAAAAGAGTAGTAGTTTTTCCAGCAAACATGGGACCCACAATCACATGAACCTCACCCGAATCCGAACCCGAGACCTCACTATGCAAGACCCGAATTTGATTATGGTTTGGCACAGTAGAACATCTAAAGGAAGAAACTTTATTCATGGGGTTTAGTGTTTGAACGGAAATAGGCTGGTTTTTGAAAGTACTAAGAACCCCATATCTTCTGCATACAAAAATGGGTTCTTGAAAATGAAAGCAGAAAGATAAAGGAGCTGTTGGGGGTCTTGAAAGTATTGGGTAAAGTAGTGATTTCATTCTTGATAATGTTAACATGTAGTAGAAGCATGAAATTTTGACGCTTTTGGAGTTAAATTTTTTGAGATTTTATCACATATGTCCAATTTGTAGGTCTGATTTTATGGGGAATTGAGTGAATTTGATGTTAGAATATGAGATAAGAAAAGGGGGCATGGGTTTTAAGGGTTTTAGGTTCTTTAGCTTGGAGTGAAAGCTGGAGTCCTGCAATAGGAGAAGCATAGTTGATAGTTGAGACATAAGCGGCATTTGAGGTACATAACGTATTCGATAATTGCGACTTATAAATCGCACTTTTAGCGTTTTATACTTTATTTTACCCTAACTTTATTTTAAAAATCAAATTCTCCATCCAACATTGAAGAATAGGTTTTTTTTTTTCCTCACACCTCAACTGACTTTCTTAAATGCATATTTTATCCTCTAGATTATTATCTTTTTTTCTTCTTCTTTAATAACATGATATTTTTTTAATTTATGTTATGGACTTATTACCTATACAATGATAAATGTTATTCAAGAAGAAAAAAGTAAAAATAGTAATTGGACATAGAAGTTGAGAAATAAATGAGCAGAATAAGAAATTTTAGAATAAAAAGATTGCTCATGTTGGATATTTTATTAATAACAACGAATATTACTCGATTTATTTAGACAATTGAGAATAAAAAGAGTGAGAACTTTGTAAAGATATACTTAAAGCAGGTAATACAAAAATTCAAAATTTAAGGTAGATTATATAACAAGTTCCTGAGATTATTTGTTTATACTTTAAATGAAATTTGTATTTAGGTAAATTTACCAAATCATTTCGTATTCGTTCTTGCTTTTGGTAGAGCCTCAAAATTGACCGAGCGGACTCGCATATCAAAACATTTTCAAAAAGGTCCAAATTTATGCATTTTACTTTTGGTTGTGGTTTTAAAACTATATCTCGTTATACTTCAGGTTCGAACTCTGTTAGGTCAAGGGTAAATATAAGATAATATTCTAACAGTAACGGTATAAATAGCCAAAAGTATAATAAATGGTAAAATTAAAATATTGTGTAAATACAGAGAGTTTGAAGAATGATGAGAAGGATCTAAAAGAGAAGCTAGAAAAATGGAGTACAATTGAGGAGGGTATACTGAAACAAAAGTCCAGGATCCAATGGTTGAGGCTAGGGGATTCAAATACAGCTTTCTTTCATGCTAGTATAAAGAACGGGAATGCCCAAAAGAAGATTACAAAGCTAGTCACCCAAACAGGAATGCAGACTCAGAATCAGGAGGAAGTACAGCAGGAAATCATCCAGTTCTATCAGAAACTATTAGGAACAGCTGCAGAGGAGATTCCAGCTATTACACCAGATGTGATGAAAAGAGGAAGCATACTGACAAGAGCACAACAAATAAAACTGATAGAACCTGTGACAAGGGACCAGATTGTTCAAGCATTAAAAAGCATAGATGACTCAAAGGCTCCAGGGTGTGATGGGTATAACTCACTATTCTTTAAGAAGACATGGGCAATTATAGGAAATGAAGTAGTAGAGGCAGTTCAGGATTTCTTTAGAACTTCAGAAATATACAGGCCAATCAACTGCACTACAGTGACTTTAGTTCCTAAAGTGCAAAATCCATCAAGAATCTCAGAGTTCAGGCCAATATCATGCTGTACTACCATTTATAAAACCATATCCAAAATCATAACTAGCAGACTTCAACAGGTGATGGACTACTTGGTTGATGATAGCCAATCAGCTTTTGTACCAGGGAGGATAATCTCAGACAACGTCATTCTAAGCCATGAGATAGTTAAAGGTTATAGCAGGAAGAATATTACTCCAAAATGCTGTTTGAAGATTGATATGAAGAAAGCATATGACTCTGTTGAGTGGTGTTTCTTAGAATAGATTCTGGACCAACTATGTTTTCCACAAGAGTTCATTACTTGGATCATGAAATGTGTAACTACAGTCTCCTACTCTATCCTTATAAATGGTAATCCTATGAAGCCTTTTCCAGCAAGGAAGGGACTGAGACAGGGAGACCCCATGTCCCCCTTTTTGTTTGTACTAGTAATGGAATACTTCACAAGAATGTTAAGGGGACTTAAGGGGAACAAGTCTTTCAAATTCCACCCAAAATGTGCTAAGCTAAATATAATACAATTCAGTTTTGCAGATGATCTGCTCTTGTTTTGTAAAGGAGACATGGAGCCTGTAAAAGTACTGTATGCTAGTTTTCAAATGTTCTCTAAGGTTTCTGGGCTGGAAGCAAATATGGAGAAAAGCAGTGTATATTTTGGGGGAGTGAATCAGACATTGCAACTTGATATATTGGACCAGCTAGGTTTCTTAAAAGGTGAGCTGCCTATAAGATACCTAGGGGTCCCCCTCAGTACAAAGAGGCTATCAATAACTCAGTGTAAGCCACTAATTGACAAGATCATTGGCAGGATTACTAGCTGGACCTCAAAGTTTTTGTCTTACGCAGGGAGATTACAACTTATCAAAAGTGTGGTTTTCTCAATACAAACTTTCTGGTCTCAAATTTTTACATTACCTAAGAAGTTGATACAAATGATTGAGAGTGTGTGCAAACGGTTCCTCCGGACAGGAGGTGTTGATGTGTCACACAGGGCACTTATTGCTTGGGATAGAATTTGTATGCCAAAGGTAGCAGGGGGAATGAACATTATGGATATCCAATTGTGGAACAAGGCAGCTGTGTGCAAATTGTTGTGGAATATATGCAATAAGAAGGACAAACTATGGGTAAAATGGATACATTGTTACTATGGAAGGAGAGCTAGCATGTGGAAGAGCAAACCAATGCAGGCTTCTTGGATTGTTCAGAAAATACTAAAGGCTGCTGAATATCTGGAAAAAGTGGGGATTCAAGAAGAAGAATTTAGTCAGATGCAAAGCTTCACCATACAAAAGATGTATAAGAAGTTCCAGGGTGAGTATCCTAAATGCTCATGGAAAAGGTTAATTTGTAATAACTATGGAGCTCCGAGATGGTTATTCATACTATATTTAAACTTACATGGGAGGCTGTTAACAAGAGATAGAATAGCAAAGTGGAGTCAAATTGATGATCTATCATGTCCAATGTGTGCAAGAGAACCTGAGAGTGCAGAACATCTATTCTTTAAGTGTGAAGCAACATCACAAATCTGGGAAAGCTTATTGGAATGGCAAGGAGTCCAAAGAAAAGCAAAAGGGTGGAATGAAGAAGTTCAATGGGCAGAGATGCATGCAAAGGGGAAATCTGCAAATTCAAATGTGTACAAAATCTGTTTGGCAGCATGCGTATATCACATATGGAATGAGAGGAACTTGAGGATCTTTCAAGGAAAAGCTAGACAAGCAAAGGTCATCATACGGGCAATAGCACAGGAAATTCATAGTTTTGGTAGTAAATACAAGAAGTTAGACAACAAGCTACAGGAGATGAAAGAGTATCCTAAATTTAGATGAAAGAGTATCCTAAATTTTGAGATAGGACTAGACTGTTTTTGTAGAGTTTTCCTTGTATTTTTTGTTTGTAATTAGGACAAACGGGAAAATATAGGACTTGGGGCATGATGTCCAAGATCCTAATGAATGAGAATTGTAAAGATTATACTTGATTTGTGAAATAAAAAATTTTACTTACCAAAAAAAAAAAGTGGTAATTTTGTACCCTTTTTCCAACATTTATTAGTGTTACCATAAAATATTCAAATATTAATTAATAATAATTTGAATTTGCTATTGGCGGTTGATACAATGGTCAAATTAAAGCATTTAATTTCATGATGAACTCAGATACCGTATCTATTTTAGTAGATATCACTAAGTAACAATTTCTTATTATTAATAATTTCAAAAAGAATATCGTACTCAAAGAAACAATTATGTTAATTTCAAATATCGATAGATCTAGGGCAGTTTATTTCAAGAAAAAAGAAAAAACCATGGATATCATGTTCTAAATTTTGACACAGAAATGACATAACAACAATGAAACTGTCTAATAGAAATAAAGCTATAGAATCACCTAAAATAGAAAGGGATAGATGAACAATATATCATTCTAGTTTTGAATATATATATATATATATAGGATTTAACTAAATCCTTTTACACAATCAACAAATAATACTTAAATTAAATATACTACTATTGAGGGTGGTATGAATAATTTATAGTTTAAACAGAACTAAGATCTAAGAGATTAATTATGACTTAAACTTTAAATTCCCAAGGCTGGTTGTGAAAAGCCAAATGATTTATGAAATGTTTGTAGTGATATAATTAGCATTACCATGTGATTTAATCATTGATTCAACAATTGTATCCAAAAGCCTATCCATTATATGCATTGACCAACAGTTGGCAAACACCAAACTCAAACTCCAATTTACCTTTTTTTTCCCACGCGATATCCGATTTCACATGGGCCCTACTAAATTTAGGTTCGCGGCCAAAAATCTCACATTAAGAATAAGCTGACTTTGTATCTACGATTCGAACTCACGCTCTAGTTAAGAATAAAAATATACTTACCACTTCACCAAAATGTTTTTTAATAAACTCCAGTTTACCATTTAAACAACAATAGATAATAACATTTTTTTAGATCTTGAGCTCATTAATTAATTTATATTCTTGTTAAATATCTGGGATTTTGTTATTTTATTTTATTTTTTCATCTATAATAGTGTAAGCTTGTAAAACTACCTTAATAAAGAAAAAGCTTTAGGCTTTTCTGTTCTAATCTTTTGGTAAAGTCAATATTTAATACTACAGCAAGAAAGATATTGTAATTTGTAACTATTTAACTAAGGGCACAAAGACACAATTTATGAAGATATCTCTGAAAGTATTTCCATCTTTACAATTTTTGTTATATTATATTTCTGAAAGTTGAGTGCATTTTTAGGCTTTTTCCGTTTATTTTATAATTGTTGTGATATATAATATAACAAAAATTGTAATATATAATGTAGCTTTTATGTTCAGTTTCAATTATAAAAGAAAGATTTTTTCAACATATAAAAAATAAATTGCAATCACAAAATAAGAGAAAAATATTTTACTAATCAATCGTGAGTAAAATTCTGTTTCTCCCTCGATCCGTTTCTCCTGATTATCTCTGTGATTCGAAAGCTGAAGCAGCGTATTTCTCGAATATAGGATGATGTGATAAAACTCCATTAATGGTGAGATCGAAGAAAGAGGAACGGAGAAGGAGAAGGGCGGAAGATTCTAGATATTTTCCATTAGAGAAAAAAATGAATCCCAAATCCGTCTGTTACAAAAATAATATTCCCCTTACAATATGTGGGCCAGTCCATTACTTGATACAGGTATAAAATACAGTGTAGGCCCAATAGTAAAAGAAGAAAAAATAAAAGAAGAGAAAATAACCCAAAGAAAAAAACTAAGTAACAACATTTTCTTCTTGTATCTCAACACCCCCCGGCAAGTTGGAGGGTGAGATAACCCCCAACTTGCGAAGATGCATGTGATGAAGAGCACCTCCCAAGGGCTTAGTAAACATGTCAGCAAGCTGGTTTACACTGGAAGTATGAAGCAGCTGAAGCAATCCTTCATTCAGCTTGGTGCGAACAAAATGACAATCCCGTTCAATGTGCTTGGTGCGCTCATGGAAGACAGGGTTCTTGGCAATATGGATGGCAGCCTGGTTATCACAAAACAGAGTAACAGGAGAAGAAAATATAACACCAAAATCAGATCAAAGTCGGCAAAACCAAGTTATTTCAGCAGTGACCTTACTCATGGATCTATATTCAGCTTCAGCAGATGATAAAGAAACTACAGATTGTTTCTTGGACTTCCAACCAATTAAACAACCCCCTAACAAGATGCAGAACCCACTGATGGACTTCCTACTGTCTGGGCATGAACCCCAATCACTATCACAATATACACTAAGAGAAAGATCAAAAGAGTTATTGTAGAAAACCCCAAAATCAAGAGTACCCTTAAGATACCTGAGTAGTCGCAAGGCAGCTTGCATATGAGGAAAACAAGGCCTTTGCATGAATTGGCTCAAGTGCTGGACTGCAAAGCAAATATCAGGTCTTGTATGGGTCAGAAAATTGAGCTTACCCACCAAACACCTATAATTCTCAGGGTTAGGCAGAGGATCACCCTGATCAGCCAGTAACTTTTCATGCATTTCAAGGGGGGATACAACTGATGAACAATCAGAAGAATGGAACTCCTTGAGAAGATCTTTCACAAATTTCTTCTGATGTAACAACACCCCACCATTTGAGTACAACACCTCAATACCCAAAAAATAGTTAAGATGGCCTAGATCTTTAATCTTAAATTGATCATGAAGAAAAAATTTTACAGCATCAATTTCAACCACATCTGTCCCAGTGATGATAATATCATCAACATAGGCAACTAAGAGTACCAGGTTATCACCAGAACCCTTTATAAAGAGTGAATAATCATTGAATGAGTGTGAATAACCTCTAGATGCCAAGGACTGGGAAAATTTTGCATACCATTGTCTTGAAGCTTGGCGTAGACTATATAAAGATTTTTTCAATCGACATACCAAATTGTTTGAAACAGAATCATCAGATGCAGTAGAAACAGAAAGACCAGGTGGAATTTTCATATAAACTTCCTCATCTAAATCCCCATGCAGAAAAGTATTATTAACATCTAATTGAAATAGTGGCCAATTTCTTTTAACAGCTACATCAATTAAAGCTTTAACAGTGGAAAGTTTAACCACCGGAGAGAAAGTTTCATGAAAATCTATTCCCTCAACCTGTGTATCACCTCTAATTACAAGCCTATCTTTATATCTTTCTATATTCCCATCAGCTTTGTACTTAATTTTGTATACCCATTTGCAGCCAATTGGCTTCTTACCTTTGGGTAACTCAACTATATCCCAAGTACCATTAGTCTCCAATGCCTCAAACTCCTTTCTCATAGCAATCTGCCACTCAGGGATAGTTGCTGCCTGACAGTAAGTCTTAGGCTCAAAAACATATTCACTAGAAGTAGACACAACTGTTGAATTAGCAGACCTGGAGCTAGAGGTAGGTAAGTTACAAACATAATTCTGCAAATAAGAGGGAGGATTGTAAGGTCTAGAGGACCTCCTTAAAGGAGGAAAATCAGATTTAGAAAAGGAAGGAGGAGAATTAGATTCAGAAGGAAAAGAAAGGGGGAGACTAGGGGAAACAGAAGGGTCATTGTTGAGAGACAGTTCAGAAGTAGAAAGAGAAGGGTTAGATGAAGAAGGTTCTGATGAAATAGGGAAAAACAAATCATGAGACATTGAAGAATGTTGTGGAACAGAATGATCAAAACAAGTAGAAAAAGGCACATAACAGGGGAAGAAGATCCAGATTTGACAAAGGAAAAAATATGTTCATGAAATACAACATCTCTAGAAATAAGACATGTTTTATCTTGTAAGTCATACAACTTATAACCCTTCTTTCCAAAAAGATAACCAATGAATACACAAGGAGTAGCCCTAGGCTGAAGTTTGTCCCTATGAGGTTTTGGAACAGTAGAATAGCACAAACATCCAAAAGCTCTAAGGTTTGAGTAGGTGGGATGTTTGTTGTACAGGATCTCATAAGGGCTTTTGTTCTTTAAGACACTAGAAGGGAATCTGTTAATCAAATAGGTGGATGTGAGTATGCAGTCTCCCCAAAATCTAATAGGGAGACCAGATTGAAAAAGAAGGGCCCTAGCAGTTTCCAAGAGATGTCTGTGTTTCCTTTCCACAACTCCATTTTGTTGTGGAGTGTGAGGACATGTTGTCTGATGCAATATCCCTTTTTCAGAAAAGAACTTGGAACCAAGAATACTGGACCCCAATTCTAAGGCATTGTCACTTTTGACTTGCTGGACTTTCAACTGGAATTGAGTTTCAGTCATAGCAATAAAGGCTTTTAGGAGGTCAAAAGCATTGCTTTTGGCTCCCATCAGGTGTGTCCAAGTGGCTCTTGAATAGTCATCAACAATAGTCATAAAATATTTTGAGCCAGAATAAGTGGGAGAATGATATGGACCCCAGGTGTCAACATGGATCAATTGAAAAGGTTTTGTGGATTGTATGCTACTATCAGGAAATGGTAATCTAGTTTGTCTGGCTAGAGGACATATTGGACAAGAAAAAGATTGTTTGAAGGATAATTGTGACCCAAGCATATATATATATATGTTTCATTCTAGAAAAGGGAATATGTCCAAGTCTATAATGCCAAACAACATCCATTTTATTGATATTATTCAGATTTGCATCAGTACTAACATGTGTTACATCAACATCAGCAACATTTACATTTTTTGCATCATCTTGTATCTCAGGAAAAACACAAACAGGAGAAGTAATAGGGAAAGAAGAAGGAGAAATAGCACTAGAAGAGTAGCTGGAGGCAGCACTAGAAGAAACAACAGGTGGAAGAAGTAGCTTGTAGAGATTG